GGGGGGGACCCGCCCGTCTGCTGTCAGCGTTCTTGAAGACAATCTTCTGCACCACGCACCTACACAGCCTTTCCTTTTCCCGCAGCAATCCGAAGGAACAATAATCATTTAAAAAAAAAAGGAGGGCAGGCAGAAACTGCTTCGTTGCTTTGATTTTGTGTGTCTCTCCGTGCCTCTCCGCCCACTGCTTCTCTTCTCTTCTCTTCGCTCTAGTTCTTGATCGGTGGAAGGTCCACCGCCGGTCCTACGCGCTTCGTCACCGGCGATGACACCCGCTTGATCTCTTTCGACGCCAGCCCCGGGTTGAGGAACTTCGGACACGTGATGCTGCAGTTGAAGATGTTGTGGCACATGTTCACGAGGTTGCCCGTCTCAAACATGCGCACCCGCTCATCAAAGTCGCGGTCGAGGGGCTCGACGAGCCAGCGGTAGGACTGGAGCAGCACGGCAGGGCCAAGGAAGTGCTCGCGGTTCCACCAGTATTGCGGACAGGAGCCGGTACAGGAGGCGCACAGCACGCACTCATAGAGGCCCTCCAACCGCATGCGGTTGCTCGACTCCACCTTCTCCTTCAGGTACCACCGGTTGACGGTGTAGTTCGCGTTGGGGGCGCGGCGGGTGAGGAGGTGGAAGGCGGTCTTGCTGTTGTCCTTCGCCGTGTACAGCTGCGGGGTCTTTGTCGTGGAGTTCTTGACGAGGTGGCGGTACATGTACAGCGGGCTGCTGTAGCACGCGAACTGACCCGGCAGCGGCGCAGACGGCATTTTTCTTCTTCTAGTCCAAGGCAATGTGTGGATTGGATCCTAATAATAATACTAAAATAAATGAATAAATAGTAGTAGCAACAATCAGTTATGATAAGCGCTTGGGGTGTTCCAGTAGGGAACTGTCTAGGGTCCGTAGGGATGGTTGACTACGACTGGCTGGGGTGTGGACGCGAAGTGAATGGTGCAAGTGGAGGACGGATGGAGAGAACCGACAGGGCAATCGTTATTATGATTCACAAGAGAAAGCCACGCACAGAAGAAGGAGGACGGGTGAAGTGAGAAAGGGCGATGAAGATGAAAGCAACCACACAATGAGGATAAGGCACAAAGAGAGCAGTGCATTCGCATTCCACATCATTTACGTATTCCAGGAGAGAGCTGCTGAACAGAAGTCTCAATACGTATTTCTTCTTCTTTTCTCTATTTCCTGGTGAGCCCGCAGCGCATACCGTCCGTGAAGTTGAAGCGAGAGCCGCCCGTTTCACATGCGATTCGTGCAAAGCAACAGCAGCGGCCTCTCGAGCGCTGGGGCGTATCTGCACGTGGCACACACACACGCACGCGTACGCCTGAAGTTCATTGCCGTAAAATACAGTTTTTGTTTTGTTTTAGTAACGCGAAATTCGTAAATGAAAAAGAATCGGGAAACGAAGAGAGCTACTCGTGGAGAGGGAAGAAACGAGTGGACCGTCAGAGCCGCCGCGGCTGGACCGCCCCACCCCAGCCCCGTACCCGACGCACGAATGGGTCAGGGAGGGCAGAGAAGCGGGGGTGGCAGCACGGGGGGATGGGAGCCCTGCCCAGGATCACCAGTTCCAGCGGTGCGGGGTATCACCGGGCTTCACCGTAAAGACGGAGCGCAGGTAGCCGGCCTTCTCCTTGCCCTGCGCATCCTTCCTGATGGCCTCGATGAGAGCGGCGTCGATCTTCTTCTGCAGCGCGGCGCGCGCGTCGGACACGACGGTCTTCTTCTCCGCCTTGGAGGTCTTCTTGGCCGCCTTCTCCGCCTTGGCCTTCTGCTTGTCCCCCATGAAGTCGCCCTCGCTCTTCGCGGGCTTCTCCGCCTTGGGGCGCTGGAACACCTCCGGCGTGATGGCCTGCGTGTCGACGTTCGACATGTCCACCTTCGTGGTGGTGGCGATGACGTAGCGGGAGTCGATGCGACGAATCGGCACACCGTTGTACTTCATCGGGCCCGAGACGACAAGGGGGCCGTTGTTCGGCAGCTGCTTCAGGATCACCGCGCGGCGACCGCGGAAGCGACCGGCGAGGATGATGGCGATGACGCCAGGAGCGCAGCTCTTGCGCAGGGTTGTGAACTCGGGGCTCTTGCGGGAGACCTTCTTCGCGCCCTTCTTCGCCTTGGCGGCCTTAGCGGCGGGCTTCGGAGCAACCATCGTGACGGATACGGATATGTCGGTATCTCTCTGCGGTGGAGTGAGCGGGGGGAGAGGGAGAGAGTGCATTTTATTGAAAGTGTGAAGGCGATGTAAATAATAATAATAGTAAGAGAGGGAGTTGAAAGGAAAGTAATAACAAGTAGAGAGCAGAGCCTTTCATATATGCATTTTAGAGATGCCAAGCCTGCACATCGCACGGGATGCCTTCCATGAACTGGCGCACCACCTGCTTAGTTTACCCCAACCGAAGTACACCACGCACTCCAGCGCTTCTCCTGCGTACGCGCGGAATAGCGGTGAATGCACCATTACCGCTGTCGCGTTGTTCCTACCATTCGCACCACCCTTTTTTTTTTGGCTTTTGGAGTAAATAGACGAAACGAGCGTACATACGGCTACCTTCCCCTTTCCTATGTTTCTTCCTTCCTCCCCCCCCCTCCTCTTCCCCTCCCTGAAGAACGGGAGGGGCGGGTTGAGGGAGATTCTTCGCTACCATAATACATATATATATATATATATATATATATATATAGGCACTATGAACTTTAAGCTTTATACAAATGGACATAACCTTTTTTTCTGTTGGCACAACCTCCCGCCCCCCTCCTGTCCTTTCCTCATAACGCATAAGTCCCGTTGCACCCCTCTCCTCTTCCCCCTCCTCGCAAGCGCCTTATTAAAAAGAGAAAAAGGAAAGGAACGGAAAACGGATGCGTGTGTGTGTGTTTGCCACCCTCGTGCTGGCGCATGGCACCCGTAAAGGCCAACCCAGCTCTCGCAGAGAAAGAAGGAAAGAAGAGACGTCCACCAACGCACACCCGCCCCCAGAAGGAACAAAGGCTTTTTTCTTTCCAGCTCCCAGCGATCTGATGCTCCAGGGGACGAGACATCGATATATATATATGTAAACGAAGAACGCTAGAGAACCAGTAATCAATAACACACAGCAAAGAAAGGAGCGAGAGCGAGAGAGATGGGTGAAGAGAAAAGAAAAAAGGCGGACGTAAAGGACCAACTACATGTTATCAAAATAGAGGAGTGGCGAGGCCCCGAGGAGAAGGAGGAAGTTGGAAAGCGATGGAACACAGTGTGTATTCGTAAACAAACAAACAAACAAAAAAGAAGAGCTATTCGTTATTGTTGTTATTGTTATTGTTATGAGATTCGTTTTAAGTTAGATCCCCTCGTCGACTCTCCAACGACCGCTTTCAAGTTTTATATCTACTTTCTTACTTCTTGGCGCTCTTCACCACTTGGTTGTTGATCTCCGTCATGTAGCGGAAGAAGTCGAACTCGTTGCTGTCGATGCCGGTTTGGTAGACGTAGCGTGAGGCGAGCCACATGGCGCAGATGGCGTGCTGGTAGTTCTCCGGCACACGCTGCAGCATCACATCGACAGGGACCACCTCCTTCAGCGTCTTGGGCGCGTACTCCCCCATGACGTAGCGGACAAGGTCCTTGCTCTGGAAGATGTCGCTGCTCAGCATGTTCGCGCGGATTTGCACGTTCTTGCTGCTGAGGGCATCCGCGATGAGCGTCTTGGGCTGCTGCGGGTTCTTCTCCCCCTCACGCCAGATCGCCTCGAACTCGAGCTTCGCGTTCTCCTCGACGCGGTCGAGAATCTCCTGCACGTACTTCTTGTAGAACTCTGGCGCGTCCGTCTCGCTCTTGGCGGACATGTACTTCGCGTGCTCCTCGTCCGAGAGGCACAGGCCGGCGAAGACCTCGAGCGAGGAGGAGGTCACGCCACCTTTGTTCGCCGACGCGTCCTTGATCAGCACCACGCCGCAGCGCTCCAGCGCCAGGCGGGCATCCTGCGAGATGAACAAGTTGGCGCCCTCGACGATCAGCTTGAACTTCAGCGACTCCGGCGGCAGGTTTGCGTACTTACCCGCCATCATCGACTCCCCGTCCGCGTCCGGCACCTTCAGGAAGCGGCCGACGTTCTCCAGCGTGACGCTGCGCGGGCGACCGCCGCACGGCACGAAGATGTCCGCGTCGGAGTACTTCAAGAAATGGAACTCATCACGCAGGCGCGCGCCGTCCTCGACGAAGGTGCGGTCCGGCAGCGTGATGTTGCGGTCCTCCGTCAGCACGAGGAAGCCCTCCTTCGACAGCTTGCTGCGGTTGAACTCCCGCAGGGGGAGGCGGTGGTGGGCGAGGCGGTTCAGCTCGGTGCGGTCGATGCCGTGCGGGTCGTGCAGGGAGGCGGAGATGTCGACCATGCCGATCATCTTCTCCTTGCTGCGCAGCACCTCATTGGAGCCGAGGTCGCCGTCCGGGCCGCCGGTCTGGAACTTGCGCATCTCCGTCTCCTGCAGGCCGAGCTTCTCGTAGAGGGAGGTGACGTAGGCGCGGACGCTGTGCGTTGTCATGCCGTACACGTCGTGTGGGATGCCGCCCAGCTCGGGGTCCTTGCCGGTGGTGAAGGATTTCCACGCCGCGTAACCGCGGTCCCTGCTGTACGTCGCCCCCGCAGCCGGGAAGGTGCCGGCGGTGTTCTCGTCAGGGCCGAGGAAGATGATCTCGTTCTTCTGCAGGTTGTCCACGACGCCGCTCTCGCCAGGGATGATGAGGTCCAGCAGGGCATCGACATACTGGAGGAAGATGTGTTTGCAGCGGACCTCGTCAAACTTGTTGAGGTAGCGGCTGGAGACCAGGATCGTCCCCTTGCTGCCGCCCTCCGGGATGTCCTTGTTCTTGAGCAGCTGCGTGAGGGCGAGATTGTAGTTCTCCTGGAAGACGCTGCGCTTGTTCTTGCGGTAGTTCTTCTCCTTTGAGATGATCATGCGCACCCCGCCACGCGCGATGTCGGTGAAGCGAATGTGGAAGCCACGCCACTGCCCGCCGGCGAAGAGGAACACGCCGTGCGGCACGCGCGGGAACTTGAGCTCCTGCAGGAACGCCGGGTTCAGCCGGAAGGCGAGGGCGGCCTTGTCCGTCTTGAAGAAGTTGTGCTTGATGATCACCTCGTTGAACTTGATGAAGGAGCGGAAGATTTCGAAGTCGTAGTCGGGGCGCTCATCCTCGCGCAGGCGGTGGCTGATCTTGTCCGCAATAGTGGCACGCCGCTCCGCGGTGGAACCGAGGCGGAAGTCCTCGTAAATCATCTTCACGAACTCCGGGTAGAGGGCGATGACGGAGCCGGCGTAGCGCTCCGACATCACCTCCTGCGTGAGCGATGAGCGCAGATTGTTGAGGCGGTGCACGCCGTTCGGCTCCTTCTCCAGGATCGCACTCAGGTGGCGGTAGTCATCCGTCGTCGGGCTTCGAGTGAAGTACATGGAGAAGATCACCGCGGCGTCAATGAAGACTGTCTCCTCGCACGTCAGCGCACCGGCCTCGTGCATGCGCGTCATCGCGTTAAAGGGGCGGTTCGGCAGGAGACCCACCATCGACGCCCGCTCCTCGATCGCCGCCGCCGTGGTGCCCTTGACGGCGAACATGTACACCTGCACCCCGTTCGAGAAGGTGAAGGAGGCACTGCTCACCACCTCCGCGCCGGCGATCTCCTGAAAGATGGCGAGCAGCGAGGCGACGTAGTTAGTGCGCTCCACCGTGGTCGCCATCGTAAAGTGCACGTGGCCGTCGTCACTCTTGGCAATGTCGAAGACAGGGAAGACGGACGTCAGCTGGCGACGCAGCAGGCCGCGAATGAGGTCGCGGGTGGCCTCGTTCAGCTGCCGGTCGGCGGTCACCGTCGGCAGCGCCGGGCTTTTGGGGTTCACGTGTTGCTCACCCTGCCGCTCCTTCGCGAAGCCCTCCGTGACGGCGGTGTAGATGGCGATGTTGCGGTCCTCGCTGACGTAGTGGAGCGTGTTGCTGCCCAAGGTGAGGTCCTCGTTGAGTGATACGAACTCCGCCATCTTGCGCACCATGCGCAGCTTCGTTTTGGGCTCGTTGTGGCAGATGTAAAAGGCGCTGTGCGCGTCCTCATGCACGTACTCAAAGGTGTCGCCCATGCGGAAGCGCGCCTCGGCCGTCAGAAGCCCCTGCACGTGGGAGGTGATCTCCTCCAGCGTGAAGTTCTGCAGGTACGTCGTCTTCTCAAAGCCGTTCACGTACTTGTTCACGAGCGACTCCACGATTTTCGTGTCAAAGACGCCCTCCTTGTTGATGCGCATGATAATCGCAGCGCGGTCCACCGAGGCGGGTGCGCCGGAGGAGTTGAAGCGGCGAGCGGCGCCGAAGTTCAACGCGGCGAGGTGCACCACCGCCTGGCGGGTCGTCGGTGCAGCAGCAGCGAGGCCGACGGCCGCCGCAACCGTTTGCGCGGAAATACGACGCATCATGGTTGGGTCGCAGAAAGAAAGGAGAAAGGAGAAAGCAAAGAATCGATGTCAAAGAAAACAACTAATAGAAATAATAATGCGAGACGAGCTGGAGAAGAATGAAAGGAAGGAAGCAAAACCAAAAAAAGGACGCGTCTGCACCGCAGTGGGTATATTCTTCGCTATTGCAAGAACTATTGGACTTATGCGCAGGGGGAGAGAGAGAGAGAGCGAGCGAGAGATCACTGAAAGAGAAGGAAACCAACAAACAATAAACCACGAAATAATAATACAGAAGAGAAAAAAAAACGCTGGCAGGAGTTAATGCTATTCGATTTCGAAAGACTAAAAAAAAAAGAAAAGAAAGAGAAAAAGAAAACAAGAACGAAAACAAACAAAACAAATTGGGGAAGAAGAGAAGGGGCGGTGAACTCTGGCGCGACAAAGCCGAGCAGTGAAACAACAACGACCGCAAAGAACCAGCACAGATGATCTGCGCTTCTGCTTCTTCGTTCACCGTGTTGGACCGCTTTCGAAGAGTTCACAAGCTCCTCAACTGCGAAAAGGAAGGTTTTTTTTTTCTTTTGTAACAAAGAAGGTGTGTGTGTGTGTGTGTGTGTGTGAGAAGAAGAACTAAAGAAAAACCCCGGCTGATATCCAAAACGAGGCGATTTTGTCGCAAGGAGATCAAGGTCAGTCGAGACAGAAGTAATAGTAAAAATAGTAAAAAAAAAGAGAGAAACAAAAACAGAGAAGAGGCAGTTCAGAGAAAGTACAGCTTGGTAATCGAACGAGCGGACACGTTGGTCTACTTGGGAAATCTGTATGTGGGTATGTATATCCACTCTTTTCTTTTTTTTTTAAGAAGTCGGGCGTTACTACGACGAACACTACCGCTGCTGCTGCTGCTTTACGTAGAAACAAATGAATGCGTTTTGGGGTTTAAGGTTTTTTCTTGTTCTCTCAGGCAAAAGAGAAAAAAAAGGAGAAGCGAACAAAGGGCAGCAACAACAGCTAAAGAGAAAACCCGGCGGGTTCACCACGACTGACTTTGAGGGTGCGTCGGGACACACAGACACACGGCGGAGAGTCAAATACACGAGGAAAGAGGAAGAAATAATAAATGAAAGAAAGAAAGAAATAAATATAAAATAAAATCCAATAAACCCAGTTAAAAGAGATGAAGTCTTCGTGAGACGGACGCAGAGGTGCTCCCCGCAACAAGAGAGCGAGCTTCACTGAACAAGAGAAAGATATACGAGACGATACGGAAAATCGCGATCGCTGAGGAAAGAGAGAAGGAAGAGCGAGGAGAGGCTGAAACCAGGTGCTATGCGTTGCTACGACTAGTGTGAGGGGAAAATAACAAGAACAACAATAGTGAAAGAAAAAAAAAACGAAGGCGAAGGTGCTATCACAAGGTGAGAATTCCTTCGCACGTCGCCGTCAGCGAAGTGTCGATGATGTTGATGTTACAAGACACCGTCGCGGCACATACATGTGCGGTGACAAAAGAAAACAAAATACAAACGAAAATGCAGAAAGGGGGAGGAATACGAAAAGGAGATGACATAGATGTTGGGAGGAACATGCGAGATGCCAGCGAGCCGTCTTTCCGTACCTCCGAAAAAACGGTTCGGAGAGAGAGAGAGCCTTTGCTTTCTTTGTTTCTTTCTTTGGCGTTCAACGAGCACGCACACGTGAGCGACGGAAACGGATAAGAAGGAAAAATGAGATGTATGCTTTTAAGTCATCAACGAAGTCTGATGTTTTTGGCACGTCAGCGAACCATCAGCTTCCAATGAAATTCCCAATAAATCATCGATCATTCGCTCAGCTTTTCTTTTTCCCTCTGTAACAAAGTAATTGAAGCTAGGAAAGCTATTGTTGGGAAAGTGAAGAATTCTTCTGATGGGCCCAGACCGGCCATTCGAGATTTACACCCACCCACACACACACACACACTCCCACAGACGACCGACAACACCAACAAGGCGTCAGCAAAGAAAAGTGCGTGACCATTCGCAGCAACACCCCCGGCACGCGCGGCGACGCGAAGGGTGAAAGAGGAGAGCCAAATAGAACAGCGGCTACCACGACAAAAAGCTCAACAGCAGCCCAGCGGCTCGTGGCCTCCCGATCAACGGCGTACCAGCTGATCAACACACAAGTACACACACACACACACACATGGACACACAGAGATGGACACAACACTGCAGGCCCAGAAAGCGACTTGGGCAAAACTGTGAGTGAAGTAAAACCACAACTACCGCCCGCTCACGTGCTCCGCATGTGCGCATCAGCGAACCGTGAAACACGCTGACCCGCGACATCACGGAGGCGTAAGAGAGAAAAAGTGAAGAGAGCACCGTGCACGTCGAAAGCTAAAAAAACAAAGAACACCATACAACAACACGGGTCTGCACACTTCTCCCTCACTTCCATCAAAACAAAACAAAAAGCGAGGAGCACTGCCCGCCTCTTCTTTTTCTTCTACGACTTTCGGTTCATCACCAGCGAAAGCGCCTTCTCCAGCGCATCCCGCGCCGGCGACGGATGCAGCTTATGCAGCGACTCAATACTCAGGCGGCAGTGCTCATCCGCGCGCTGCATCGCCTCCGCCACCGCCCCCTCCTTCTCCACCACCTCCATGCATAGTTCCGCGTCGCCGGGTTCGCTGAAGCGGCGACGCACCGCCGCGTCCACCCTCGCATCCCGCTGCGCGACCAGCAGCACTGGCATCGTCGCAATGCCCTCCTTCATGTCCGCCTGCTTCGGCTTCCCGAGCGTCTTCTCATCTCCGGTGATGTCGAGGCAGTCATCCACAATTTGGAAGGCAATGCCGAGGTGCTTGCCGAAGTCGAAGGCGACCTGCTCCAGCGCGTCATTGCCCGGGTTCGCCAGCACCGCCGTCGAGGCGAGCGAGTTCGAGATGAGCGAGGCTGTCTTGCAGAAGTTCTTCTGCTCATACCGCGGAATATCGAAGCAGCCGTCCATCTGGATCAACTCACCAGACGTCAGCTCTTCCAGCGCCGTTGTCATGAGCACCACGATGCGGGGCACCTGCAAAGTAGCAATGTAGAAGGAGGCCCGGGCAAGGAGGTAGTCGCCGGCCAGCACGGCCCGCTTCGCGTCGTAGATCTTGTGCAGTGCGAGGCGACCACGGCGGGTATCGCTGTTGTCGATGACGTCGTCGTGCACGAGCGAGGCCGTGTGGATCAGCTCCGTCACCTCCGCCAAGCGCAGGAAAGGCAGGAGAGTCCCCGGGGTGACCTCGTCCAGGCAGCCCAGCGGCTCCTTCATCAGACGGGCGCTGACCTCCGCTGGCAGCAACGCGTAGGCCATCAGCGCCACCAGCGCCGGCCGCATCAGCTTCCCACCGGCGGCCAACGCGTACTTGCCGGCGTGATCGAGCACTTCGTTGTGGGTGTTGACGACGAGGTTGTGAATGTGCTCCTTGACGGCGGTCACTTCGCGGTCGACGAGGGCAAAGGGGCGGCCTTCTGCCGTGAGTGCTTTGCTGCCTTGCGACTGGGCCGCAGCGCCAAGACGGGCGAGGCAACGCTGAAACATTAAAAAAACTTTTGCCTGCTTTTGTTTTCCTTGAGAAGAAGAGTGAATCGTCGTTTGTCAGTGCTGGGAGGACTTTTGAATGGACGTTAAAGAAAGCTATTCCTTGTGTTTGAAGTTCGTGTCAGGCAGTGACGAAGACGGTTGCTGCTGGCCTGACCACGCACACACCCACCCACCCACACAGAACAGATGGCTCCTCACACGTTGTACGGCGCTTTACCCAAGCTGCGGATGTGAGCGCACGTGAGGAGAGCTATTTGAGGTACTTGCCAAGGTGAGCGCGGTGCGCTATGCAACTTTTTTTGATGGTATGCCTCTGAATACGTAAATAGGATGCTCGGAGCTGCAAAGGAGCTCGAAAACAACAACAACAACCACACTAATATATATATGTATAATGACCTGAGAACGATTCTACTTCACCGTTTTTTTTTAAAGCGAGAGATACAGAGAGCGAAGTCAAGAGATCGACTGCGTCGATGATCGTGTCCGAAGCGCTCGCGCCTGGAACCCACCGTGGCCAGTCCATCGCAGTAAGCAGAACACCAAAGGGGGAAACTGCGCCGGCGTTTCTGCCTCATGCTGTCTCTGCAACGTCCGCAGACCGTTGCGCGCGCTCTCTCATCCCCTCCCCCTCCCCACCCACTCACACAAGTAATTCCTTTCCTTCTGCACGCCATCGGCGCCACTTGACGCTGCAATACGCACACGTAGCGCTGCGGGTGTACTCGTGTTGTTTCCTTTTCTATCTCCGAGAGATTCAATTGCAATGCAGCAAGAAAAAGCGGGCGCCCTTCCTCACGTAACGCGCAGCCTTTGCTGAGGAATTGCTTACATTGTGCACAAACATCTGCGGCAAGAATAGCAGGAGACGCCAGACCGCGGTCCGCAAAAACCAACAAAAACACACACACACACACACACGGCTCTCTCCCTCTTCATACACAAACACCGCACTTACTCCTTTTTCTTTTCAGTTACAGTCGTCGCTTCCTCGGCACAAAGTTGTGCAGCTGGAAGTCGCCATCCTCCTCCCCCTCATCGTCGTCGGCGCTGTTTTCGCCCTCCTCACGCAGTCGAATACCGTCGTGTGCAGGCGCCTTCATCGTTGACGTCGCCTGCTGCTGCTCTTGCCGATCTTGTGCCTCTACCGCCGCCAGCGCCTCCATTTCGCGTTGAATGCCCTCGTTGCTGATGACGGCGCTCGCAAAGATGCCACCCCGCACGGCAGGCCGGCGACGGCCTCCGGTCGCCCCGTCGTCTTCGTCTGCATCGTCGTTGTTGCGGCTGTCGTTCCCCATCGCGGCTTGACCGGGTGCGCCTGGCAGAGACGACGACTGTTGTGGCTCCAACTTCAACGGTTGGTTCGACCCGTCTGTCCGTCTCGGCGCGAGCCCCGTCGCTGGCGCGGTGGATGACACACTGAGGTGTGCAGACGCCTGCTCCACCGTCTTCAAGAGAAGCTCATCCGATTCCAAATCCTCCACTGTAATGTTCAGCCGCGCCGCCGCCCGCTCCCGCAGACGTTGCGCCTGCTTCGCCAACTTCTCCTGCTCGCGCAGCTCCCGCTCGAGCCGGATGCGCTCCAGCCGCTGCTCTCGAGTCTCGCGCCGCTGCGCGTTGGCGGCCAACTCCGCGGCCTTCTGCTCCAGCAGCTGACGCGCCTTCTCCGCCTCCGCCGCCTCCAGCGCCGCCTGCCGTCGTTCTTCTTCCTCGGCCCTCGCCTTCTCCTTAGCGGCCATCTCCGCCGCGACCTCCTTCGAGGCCTGCTGCATGGCCATGGCCAGGTCCACAATGGCGTCGCCCATGCCGGCGTCCGCGTCGAGGCGGTCGTCGTGCTGCTGCGCGAGGCGCTGCTCCACCGGCACGATCAATTTCTTTCGATTCTGCCAGCTGCTCACACAGAAGGGGACGACGACCTTGCGGGTGCTCGCCGCGCTACCGGCGCTGGAGTTGGCACTACCGCTGCTGCTCCGGTCACCGACTGTCATCGCCGTCGAGGACGCACCAGCCCCACTGAACGTCCCACTGCCATCTTTCGTTGTCGAGTTGCCGCCACCCGGGCGGAGCAGCAGCGCATCGGTGAAGGCGCTCTTCTTTTCCTTTGTCGGCGAGCGCACGATCGGGCCGGGGTCGCTCTCGCGAGAGCCCGGTGCAGCCGCGGTGTCGCTCACGACAATGGTGAGCGCGTTGCTTGCCGTGCTCGACTTCTGTGCAGCTGCGGCGGATCGCTGACGACTCTGCATGGCGAGACTGCGGCCATCGAAGACCTCCGTTGTTTGCTGTGCGGCGTGCAGCGACGCCTGAATGCTGTGTGCCGTGCGCGCGGTCGTCTCCTCGGCTGTTTCGCCCTGCCTGCGCGTGATGTGTGAAGGCTGTGCTGGCGAGGACGGTGACACGAGAGCGACGGCGCGTGAGGGAGGCGGGTTGGAACTGGAGGATACGGGAAACGAAGACGTGACAGCGGAAGAGGGAGAGGAAGAGGAGATGCCCGCTGTCGTTGAAGCCGCTGCTGCCACTGCTGCCGCCGCTGCGGCTAGTACCGTGGCTGGTGCCCGCTGCTTGCCCATACCGTGTGGGTATTGGATATACGGGCAGTCGGCGAAGGCGCCACCGTCGTAGTACTGCATCTTTTCTCTTTTCTTCTTTATGTGGCTGAAGTAGAAGGGAAAGCGTGTCTTCCCTTCAGTTCAAATAATAATAATAATAATATGAGGAGATGTAAGGCGGTGCGTCACACCTTTTACTTGGCCAAAAGTGCTGATGGTCGTGGATTGGGCGGTGCTTTGCGGAGGGCAGACAAGAGAAGAACCCGCACGGGAGAGAGAAAGAGAGGGAGAGAGAAGAGAGTTGGCAGGAGTTACTATCATAACAATAAAGTGTGAGCATGAGATAACTCTTGGTACCCAGAAGGAGCAGCGGAAGCAGGAAAAACAACGCACACGCTCTCTTTACCTTAAAACACATAAAAGGTGCGGAGAGAGAGGCGGAAAACAAGAACTACCAAACCTTTCAATGATCTCCGGTCGTCACAGTCAAAGGAGGCTTCACGCGCACCTTCTTCTTCTTTAGTTGAGCTTTTACAGCCTTCTATGTTTTCTTTTCTAAAGATTTAACCTAAGTACGAGTAAGAGGGGGGAGTGCACACCAATAAACCCCGCGTCAAGCGAAAAGAAAAGAAAAAAGACGACGACGCAGGCGCGACGACGGACCGAGACACGCGACTCGCTGAAGTCGTGCCGGAAGTCCTGGCCCTCTGCCTTGTGACGCACCTTGTGCTGCGTGTCAAACGCACACCAGCAGGCACAAATGATCATCACGCCTGTTCAGGCGTCGTTTTACTTCGCAGGAGGGGGTTTGCCGATGCGCCTTTTCCCCCTTGCTCTCTCTCTCTCTCTCACTGGGGCGCCTCTCCTCTTCCTACGCATCGTCGATCGCGCCGACCTCGACAGCCGAGCTCAGGCATCAACGAAAGTAAAACTAAAGGGGAAGGTCCAAATAGAAACCAAGGAAACTTCGAGCATATGCGGGTATTAGACGGAGAAGATCAGGAGAAACACTCTCGTGCCTATTATCTTTTTCCTTTTAACATACTGACGAAATCAAAGTAAGAAGAAATGAGTGTGTGTGGGAGGGATTCAGTTTTTGATAAAAAAAATAATAATGAAGAAACAAACATAAGATGAGCCAATGGACACACAACTGTATTTCGGGCCTCTAGATTGCAGTCACCACGAGACGACGCTGCACGAGTGCAGGGAGGCGGTAAGAGCAACAACAGAAAAGAAAGGAAAACAAAACAAATAAATAAGAATCGTTCTACCGCAGCTTCCAGTTCGGCCGTCTACTAGTTTTGATCCTTTGTTTTGAGAGACGACTACAGCTTGCTGAAGTAGCCCGACACGGACTCCTTCGGGTCCGGCTTCATCGTGGCGCTGCCGGGCTTCCAGTTCGCCGGGCACACCTCGCCGTGCTTCTCCACGAACTGCAGGGCCTCCACCAGGCGCACAACCTCCTCCACGTTGCGGCCAACAGGCATGTCGTTGATCGTGATCTGGCGCAGCTTGCCGGTGGGGTCGATGATGAAGACACCGCGGTACGCAACGCCGTCATCCTCTTTCAGCACACCGTAGGCGCGGGCGATCGACTTGGTCTTGTCCGCCAGTATCGGAATCTCCATCGTGCCGAGGCCGCCCTTCTTGCGATCCACGGACGTCCACTGCAGGTGGCTGTACTCGCTGTCGCAGGAGCACGCGATCACCTCCGTGTTCAGCTCCGCAAAGCGCTTCGCGTTTTCAGAGAACTGGATGATCTCCGTCGGGCACACGAAGGTGAAGTCCATCGGGTAGAAGAACAGCACGACCCACTTGCCCTTGTAGGACGCGAGACTGATCTTCTTGAAGGTGCCGTTGGGCATCAGCGCCATCTCGTTGAACTCGGGCGCCGGGTGGTTCAGCTTGGGGGCGAAGGAGTAGTTGGCATGACGCCCATGCTTCTTGAACGCGGCCGCCATACCGTGGAAAAGCTCGGAGGACATGGCAGAGAGGAAGTTTATTCGGTAGCTTTTAAATATGTGAAGAACGGGGTGTAATAGAAAAAGAAATCAAAAACGGTGAGCGACTGAAAGACCAAACAACGGTGTTAGTGTTGATCGATGATACACGAAGGGAGGCAAGGAAAAGAGTTAGCAGAAGAAAGAAAACAAAAAGCCCCCGAAGTGTTAAACACAATTCGTTTTCATTCTGCATTCACTGTCGTGGCGTTTTCTAAGTCCGTCTCATGTCCATCACGTACGCCGCGTCTTCCGGGGACGCTCAGCTGTTTTGCATTGGAAACGTGTTGCGATACACTTTTTACCCGACGCACCGCTGCGTGTTTGCGAGGAGAACAGAGAAGAATCGCAAAGAGTAAAACAGGCAAACAAACCAGGGGGAAATCGTGGTCGAAGAGCCCCATCAGCAGTCAACCGCCACCACCACCACCACAGCTGCAGTAACTCGTCACGCAATCCAAAAACTTCGGCGTCGGCCTCGCTCCCTCCTCCCTCCCCCTAAAAAAGAAAGACACCGCCGTCAAGAGACTAGCGCAACGCGTCCTCGACGTGCGCAGGTTTTCCTTCGCGGACGTACGCCCCCCCCCCCCGACCCTCTCCGTCGACTGCGAAGGAAGGAAGTCGACTGACGCGT